AGACATTATTTATATGTACAATAGGTAAACAATTACTTTTACTTTTGACATGAAATTGTTGCAAAAACTCTCTTTGATAGAACTCCGAGGGTTTACCACTGATTATTCATTTGCTTATTTAAATATGTTTCAATACTCTTCGATTCTTTGCTAATATGATACTTGGTTTTTGGTGACTTGGTTGAGACATTAGAGGTCACATCACCACCTACTTGTGAACTCCCCTTGCGTTTTAAAGGTGTACTGTATCTTGGCTGATTATAATAATTTAGTCTCTGACCATAAGATGGAAATCTGTTAACATTTGAGTTATCACCTTGTCGCATATTATTGCTATAGAATTGTGGTCTAGTAAGACTAGGACGACTGCTAACATAGTTACTCGAACTTCTAACCTGGTTCTGGCGAGGGCTACACATCGCCAAATACGCACAACATAGTGATATTGAATGTCCAAATTTATGACAGTATAAGCATGGAAGTGGATATGGAGGATATATGGAGTTCTTGCATCCAATTTACACGTGGGTCATTTGTATCTTGAGCATGTGGGATTACTTGTCCGTAAAGACAAAACGCATTACATTGATTTAAGGAATGCTTATCTAAATTACAAAACTGACATTTTCATTCTGTAATGCAATTGAAGACTGAGGTTTTCAACTTGACTTTTTAAACTCTCAATTGCATCATCTTTGCTATTCAAAGCAATGGAATTTTTGTGTTTGCATTATTTTCAAATTTTGCGAATTAGAATGATGTTGCTGAGCTAAATTCACAAGCTGATCAAAATTATCTGTAGGATTCATAATTAATTTTTCTTTGAGTTCTTTTGGTAAAGCAGCTAGAAACTGCAAAGATTTTATTTGGTTCAATGCTTTGCTATTTTGAACATGGTTGTATGTAGCAGGAGCCAAAGTTTCAATGCGATGAGCAAGACTTTTGATTGATTCACCAGGTAACAGCAGAATGGTCTGGAAAGCAATTAAATTAGATGAAGGGTTAGCATTCTTCGAAAAGAAGTTTATCAGTTTTTCACAAGCCTCGTCGAGGTAAGTCACATTTTGACATGCAGGCGATTCTGCAAAGAACTGCTGTGCAGCACCAACAAGTTTACTTTTCAGATATAATACTGCAACTTTATCATTCCAATTATTCAGAGTTTTATATTCTTTAATTAATTGGCTAGTGAACCAGCGAACAGTATCAGGATCACCAGAAAATGATTTCAATATTAAATGGGAATGTTTTAGTTTCCATTTTGGTTCAGAAGATTGTTGTCGTGTCTTAGTCATACTCAATTAAACAAAATGATATTCTATGAAATGACACAATATGATAAATATGCAAATTCTTGCCCTAATAAAGGCATTATATACTATAAATCATATTATATAATACAAATAAAAATTAATATCAAACAATTTATCACTGCAGCATAATACTTAAGTTAGACTTTGAATCATTCATGTGATTAATAATCTATATTCCTCTTAATACATTCTGTTACACTTTGATCAATGTGATTAATACAATCTATATTCAACTTTAAATTAATTCATAAATACAACTTTTTTAAATACAGTCTTAGAATAGATACAGTCAATGCAACGTTTAATGTATTGCCACAGCCACGAAACGGTTGGGCACGGCACAAGTGTGGTAATATTATTTCGTTGGTTGTGGTGGCAAACGATATGTCACATGTTATGATAAACAGGAATATAGTGGCAACTTCCCCAGGACAAGACCAGGTCTATAGCCCGCCGTGACGAGAGAGTGCAAACACGTGAAACAGATTTAATTCTTGCTTATGGATACAATAATACTGAAGAGATATTCCTTTTTTTTAATGGTAGTCCATACGATATGAGGCCTCCTCACTCAGAACAAAAAGGATAGGTCAACTCTTCCACACAGCACTTGAAGACTTGGTTGTATTTCAGCCAACACATGCAGGTACTCTTCATCGGATGCGGGCGAAAATGCCAGCCCGGGGAAAAAAAAAAAGATTAGTTAATTTTGCAGCTACAACATAAGAGAAAGAAATCGATTCTTAATACTACTGGGAGATAAGAAATTCACGAAAACTCCCCAAGTTTGCATTTACTCCACTCTTACTGTCTTCTCTATGCAGCATCTATCTCGCACCTCACAATCTCTCCTTCTCCTCCCCTCGTAGACAAAAATACCGCCTTTTATAAAGTTCCACAGTAAGTTTTGCCGCCAATGAAAAAAGATCCAGAGTCAGAAGGCAACCAATCGCAAAATACCTTCAGCTACCAGGCAAACAAAGGAAGACGTAGTTTCTGACGCCAATACTTTCTCCGCTCAACGGTTGTCTGATGCAATGCTTTCCTCGCTTACAACAGTTGTTGATGAAATCTGTTCTTCACTGACAACACAGTTGGCGAAAAAATGAAACTGTCACCAAAGGAATCTGATGCAAATATCTAAATATTGCCATAACGTAGTAAATAATTAATTCAATGTGACCTCGTCACAGTTTGGATGTTTTTCAGTGAATCTATCACGTTATTTAAATGAACCTCACTTATGGTCTACGATCAAAAATAGCTAAAAATGCTTCAAATAATTCAGAAATTAAATTGAAATTAATGAAATGAAAGGAAGCATCTCATATGAAAGCAAGCACTTAACTTGCTGTACAATTATGTCTGTAAATGGCATGTAAATAAAGAAAACATTCGGCAGTGATTGCCACTTTCCTCATATTCTTCCAAATATAAATTTTGAGGTCTCAGAAAACGTCAGCTGCATTTTCGTGTACTTACGTAGTTGACTTTAACTTAATTACGAACTAATAAATACAAAATATATAACTGTAACCAAACGCACAACCTAATAAAACTTTAAATAGACCTAAAAAATATTTACCTCAAAAATGCATTTTCAGCTTTTCCTGTCAGTGATATTTTCTTTCGAAAACATATATGTTTGGGAGCAACATTTTTCCAGTATAAAGCATTCAGAAAGTTAACTAAAAACAAAAATGTTAATCTACGCAGATGCAAAAAATTTCTAAATAATAGCAGTCGCAACTGCATCTATCAAACCCAATATAGACATACACCTCTTTTCAAAAACAGACTTTTTGTATTAAAATAGTATGTTCATATTTTCTTCCAAATAAATAACTTTTGGGTAAAAAAAGTAAGTTTGGACATCCATGATTTACATACTTCTTTGGTCATTCATTATCACTGAAATTCAAAACATTAATTCTTTCAGAGAAAGAAAATTTAACTATTCAAATTTTTTACAGAATATTGTACATTAATGAAAAGGCGAGTTTCTTTTATTCTTATTGATAGAACACAACCTTAATTGTTAAAATTAATTCCAAAATTCTATTAATTGAGATTCCATGTTATCCAATATTAAATTGTAAGCGGTCATATTAAGACATTCATATGCAAATGCATTGCGAAATAATTTGTTTTAAAACTACTTATAATTTATTTTTAACTTCAAAGTCAGTCAAGTCATTCATCTTTTTATAACCCACGAACGCTTTGCTACGTGTAACATTTCATATAGGAAATCTCATACAGTTTTTATAAATGAGAATGATGAAAGCATTTTTTTTTCCTTTTGCATATTGAGCAGATCGAAGCATTTTGATGCTAAGATGACAATAAAGCCGTAAGACACAGAAGCAAAAAATCGCTGTTGAGCAGTAAGCCACAGAAGCAAAACACCGCTATTGAAAAAGACAATGATCATTTTAATAGGTGTTCAAGACATTAAAATGCATTATGAAATCATTTATTTTTAGCAATTTTTATTAGTGATTTTAACTTCAATATCAAACATGTCGCGTCTTTTGAAATGTAATTATACAGTATACCCTTTTATTCTTAATACACTCTGTAGCAAAAACTTCGACGCATCAAGAAGGAATCATCCGAAAGGCCCACCAGCGGCCGAGCGGTAAAGTCGCTGAACACTGGTAGTTCGGTCCGATGTTCGAATCCCGCGAACGGGCTGCGGATGGCTTTCGTGGTTTTCCCCATGTGTACGTGTCTACGAGACCGTTTCCTCGCAGTCTCACGAAAGCATCCTCCCGCGAGATAGCCTAGTGTGCTTGCCTAATTATATACACCAAACACACAGCGATGCAGTTGAATTTCGTAGCATAAATGTTGACCAAATCTGCAAAAAATTTTTTCAGATGTCCAATGAATAGTCGATCTCCAGCGCTGCAACTGCGCATCAGCAGGACGTATATAAAGAGCTGTTCGGAATGTTGTTAAAAATTTATGTTTCATTGCGAGTAAAGATACCTTTTAACGACTGAAAAAAATGCCTCACCGCAGGATTCGAGCTCATTACGAGCAACTTTCAGAGCTTGAAAGAGTTCGTATCATTGGACTGAAAGATGCTGGCCAGAATGGGTAGACAGTGGCAAATTTCAGCGTCATGATGGTAGCGATTGACTTAAGGCCATAACAGATCAGGATGACAGAGTGATTGCCAGATCAGCTTCCAGGGCTGATTTCATTGCTATCAACCATAGACGTGCGACCCCACGTGAAGTGTCGACAAGACTTCACAGGGCTGATTAAAGCGACCTATCATAAGACCGGTAGTAACCTGCCATTCGCTGCACACTGTCGAGCAGATTACAGTGGTGCGGGTTGGATTTTAAGTTGGAATGCTGGTGTGTGGACGATAGTTTTAGCAACGGAATCCCGAGTCCAAAGGTCTTTGACGATCATCGAAGACGTTGCTGGAGACGCACCGAGCACCATGACCCTTTCATTATTGCACTCCACACAGCTCCTCAACAGGAGTTTTTTTGGAGAGGACACTTTCCTTGATAGCTGGATCACTTTGGTCGTATAGATGAAATTACAGCACAGCGGCCTAGTCGAGACATTCTCAATCTGTTTACCCCCCTTTTTGCAATAGCCTGGCTTATTTTTCAGCAAATTATGCCAGAAATACGGACTGTGGTGCCATGAACAGCTTACAGCATGACAAACATCTGCCAGCAGATCGCCAGATCTCTTCTCATGAGATGTCTGGGAATGATGGAAGGCGAAGCATCTACCAGGGAATGTGATGATTATATGACAATTGGAGAAACTTTGGCAAGAAATGCCGCAGGAGACCATCCGGGAGCTTTATCAGTCTATGCCACGCCGTGTGGCAGCTTGCATCCAGGCTAAAGGTGGATCAACACCTTACTGAGTTCGTTATTTTTGTAACTGTGTAACTCTGAAATAAATCCTTCAATTGTTCTGAAATTTTAATTTTTTTCTATTATGTATATAATCTTCCCATCTACCAATTTTTATCTCCATCGGACAACTTCTTATTGGTCCGTCGATTTTTTTGTTACAGAGTGTATTTCGTATGCAGTATAAATGAGAGATCAATGTTTTCTTTACTCTCATATAATATTAATTTGACTAAGGAAGGAATCTTAAATACGATGTTTCATTCCTTAAATGGAAGAATTTTCCTACACTCGTAGTTTTTATTCGAGATAGCCATGGTCGTCAAATTTGATTTGGCGTTTTAATTAAATGAGAAGGTGTAGGTTATCGGATTCAAAAAATTCTTCTGATGAGTAATCTGTCATTTATAATTTCATGAATAACTCTCCTTTGCACAATGTTTAAAGTAAATATTGCACAAAAATCTATGTTTTAATGCCAAAGTTTGTTTATTTGCATGGTTAATTGCCATAAGCTCTGTGGTGAAAATACATATCTTCAAAATAATTAAATTTCTGTGGGATTTTTTTCAATCATTTTTTAAAATGTAATTATAAAAATGGTAATAGAAAACTTCTAGAAACCTTTTCTTATCATATTATTAGTTTTATAACTGAAAATGTTTTTATATGGAAGTACTGCATGCCATAAGAAACTGACACATCAAAGCAAAATAAAGACATAACATGCAAATTATAGGAAGATACACAAAGCATAACGCAAAAGATATTCAGGGAAGGTAAAGCTGATGTGTAACGTATACATTCAGGGCAGTAAGGTAACAAGCCCTAAGGCTATTGATAAAATTCCTGAGAACTCGTTGAGGCAATAAATTCCAGTTTTCCAAAAAAGTGATTTTTAGATAAGGAAGAATTTTAAAATAGCGTTAGCGTTGTGAAAATAATTAAAAGAAATCACCAATACCAAATATCAAACCTTGGTCTTCCAAAAATAATGGCACGTCTTCAACCTTGGAGGCTGTAATTATGTGTTCGGCATCATAGATATATGACGGTGAAAGAATAATTTACAGTAATTTATAATTTCTGAAATTAAAAAATATCTGCAGCAAACCGAAAAATGAAAATACAGATGAAAGAAATAATGCATAATTTCCTTGCCACACTTGAGTGTTATTTTATTTCTTGTTGCAACAAAAGAAAACAATTTGTGTCAACTTTAATAATTTTATATGAAACTTTCTCTTTTAAAAAATATTTTTATAGCATTAACAGATGCATATTAATTACTTTGTTTCCACTCTGCTGTCTGAATTTATAATTTAACTTGTATTGTATGTAGCAAAATAAATCATTTATATATCAGTGTATTTTTAGATTTAATTTTTATATATTTTTAACTGAAACAGATATAAGCAGTTTGCTTTCTCATATTTTTCAAGTAAATTTCTGTATTCTCTCTCTCTCTCTCAATCGTCATAAAACAGTTTTGAGCATAAGCAAGACCCACATAGCTATTCTCTATTATTAACCTCTACATTTTCATTTCACATTTCTTAAATTTAAACTTCTAAACTTTGTTAAGCCTGCTGTTGTATAGATTGCATTGCAAATACAAATATGTTAATGCTTATTTGTGCCTAATTGTGAAATGTTTATACATGACCTTAATTTCTATAGCTCTCCCTGCTCCATCTTCCGTAACAGTTATAGCAGAGACAGCATCAAGTCTTGAAGTAAAATGGACAATGGATCCGAGGGGAAGGATGAAAACTAAAGGTAGGATACGATATAAATTTTACGATTTTCAAGATAATTTTAGAATTTGAATCTTGTTCACTGATGTTGTAAAATCAGCTTACAATGTATGTATGCCAATGCATGGAAAAATCTGGGTACGATCACTGAACAAAGGAAATGCTTACATAGCAATTAAAAATTCCACAAATTTTAAAACTTGAGCTATGCTTGATCCCTTTTCTCTGGAGCAATTTATAATTATGTGTAGCTTTCCTATTTTATGAACTGTGTTAGACTCGGAATTTTCCCTGAATATATATGTAAGCAAGCTAACAAGGGAGTTTATTTAATAGATGTTAACTAATTAGTACTCTAGATCAAAACCAGCTTCAAATCAAATATTTATTCAGCAGCTCTGCAACCTTCGTAAAAATAGTAGCGTGTCTGGAATTTGGATTTGCATTTTGCTCTGCTCACAGGCAAAGATATACAGTAACGGAATTTAATGAAGGTTCTTTTAGAGAAAACAAAGCAATTTTCTTTGTAACAAAGCTATCTTTTCGAGGAATTTAACATAAGTGAAATGTTTACTGAAGTGTAATACAAACAGTTCTTTCAGATCTGCAGTTCATCTGTTTCTTAGCAATGCAATCTTTTGAAAGAGTTAATAATGGGGCACTGGCGTGTTATTTGCATAAAATGAAGTGATGGAAATAAACTGAGGATTTTGAGAGTTATCAAAACATACTCCCGGGGGCGCCGAATATTGTGCTTTGTTAGAACTCGGATTTGACCCCGGAACATGAACAGAAAATATCTTTTGCGAGCAGCCCCAGGTGCAAATTTATTACAGTCTCTCGTTATCTCTACATTGTTTTTGGTCGAATTTCTGTGGTGATAGTTCAAGGACGGATTGGTTTCTGCTTTCTACTTGGTAAATTAAGAATTTCACTAAATTATAAATTTAAATGCGTATCTTCTCCACGCTTTATTAGGATGACCCTTGCTAAAAATACATGGGAGCCCGCTGGAAAAATTCAGAATAGGCTTAAAGTGATGGCAAACTCAAAGCACTTTTGAGCCAGAAATGCCGGATATGCAAATCCTTTAGACCATTTTAACTTCGTTCTGCTGCCGCCCAGACGGCTTAGTACTTAGGAAAGCCTACTGCGATACCGAAGGGCCTGTGTTCGAATCCCGCAGAAGACTCGGCTGTAATTGTCCGTCCACTCGTAGGAGGTAACGGTGGCTCACCTATTAGGTGCTTCCCCAATGAAGTGACCACCTCTTTCTGCCTCGGTAATGGCCAAGCCTAAGTCGGCTAAGTGCCTCCATAGTGGAGGAAAAAATTTCACCTACTTGGCTAAAGCTAGGGATCTATTTGTGTGTAGGTGTCCAATCTTATCTAGTTATTTCTTTACTTCGCCGGATATTCATCCTTCGAAAACGAAATTTTCTAAAAATTGCATTGTAGCAAAATTTGCTTTTAGACAGGACATTCGCACATCGATAATGTTTGACTGTATTACGTATACTATTAGTAAAGTTCCGTGTAAAAATTAATTTATATGAGCACAGAAACGTTAGATTTTACACATTTGGAAAACTCGATTTAAATATGTACGATGATTTGTTATCAACACAGATATATTAATATTTTCACTTAATCGTTAGCTGCAAGAATATCAGCTTGTCTTTTAAATGTTAACTTTCTGCTTTTGAGTTAACACCTCACAGGTCAGCATTGCGCTAGCCTGTTACTAAACTGCACTTTTCTTGGTAGAAAAATACCGTATTCCTCCAATACTTTTAACCCCCCTTTTTTAACTAGTTTAACGTCCAAAAAATCGAGAGCGTTCATAATTATGTGAATGATTTAATTTTCGAAAGCCGCAGTTACAGTAAGAATGTACCAAAAGAAATATATCATAGAATATACCAAAGAAAGATATGAATAAACTACAGGTAACCATCACTAGATTACTTCTTTAAAAGAAACTTATATTTCAGTGAGAATACATAATAAAATAAACATTACAATATTTAATAAAATATCTTCACTTCTACTTCATAGTTACTTGAATCTCGCCCATTCGTAGTGTTGTCTTTGCTATTCCTTAGCCTTCAAAACATCCAGAAATCATCAGAAAAGGTGAATATGCACCTGAGCAAAACCATAGGCTGAATGTCATTTCATTTTTGCTTCAACGTAATTGGTTCTTGTGTTAGGCTGGCTAAAATGCAACAGTTAGAAGGGAAAGCTTCGGCGTGACCTTTTCAGGGTTTTTGCGATGGTTTACCTTTGTTAGTAAGACGAAAACAATCACTACGGGAACGAATGTATTTTAAAATTTAGGAAAGCTCTTCATTGAATGCATTTAAAAAGAAGAAAATTGCGTGAAGATTTCTTCTAGTTTTCAGAAACTGGTAGTAAAACGCTAAGGGGGAAAATACACAAGGAAATATGGCAAGCAATCTGTTTTACGACATCAATGCAGGATAAAGAATCACTTCATTTTTTGCTTCTGAAAATAACTCTCACTCTCAGTTTCTTTAAAACCACTATCTCCTACCTGAATTAATATCCCGATGTTTAAATCTATGAATCCTATGATTTTTTTATTATGCGATTACTTCTATTCACGAGTAGATCACTCGGTGTCATTGGTGATTTCAAAAGACGCCGTCTGATAACATATATTAAGCATCTTTCACGTAAATATTTATTTCTAATGTCCATGCATTTTATCCTCAGGAAGAACTTATTTATAATGGCTTTCATACTGTTCTTACACGTTTTTATGTGTTATGAGGTATTTATGTTCTTTTATGAATTAAGCGCTATTTGACGGTCATAACTGCAATTAAAAGATTTGCATGATAAAATTTCATAAAAGTGTAGTTTTATGTATTAATTTATGTAGTATTTGTGTTGCAAATTCACTAAAATGCTATTTTATAAATTGCCGTGTGTGTTTAAATCACTTTTATATAAGTAAATGCGTTTATGAGAATAAACATTAATGAAGTTTAAGAAAAAGGGAATTATTTGCTTTATTTGAAATTTAAATGAGATAATCTTCTCAATAAAAGAAATGGGTACTTACGTGTTATTTCGTCGACCGTGAAAGTTGGCTATCTGTGATATTTTTGTCAGCTATATTCAGCTGAAGATATCGTGCCCAAGGAGGAATATCGAAATAACACTTAATTTATATCCTTGCTTATGAAACCAAAAGGTCGGTTATCGATAATCATTCGAGGTTTCATTAAAGAAAACATAGATGTTACGACTGTGTTGTTGCGACGTTAGACTTATTCATAATTGGCACTTAATCACTCTGCTTGGCGACAGTTTCATGGTTGACGGAATAATACCAGAGCTTAGATTGCGCCAGAGCCCACCGGACCCCGGCTCCGGTACTTCTTAGTTTTCGGGATAAATTCTAATACTAGCCAGAGCGTTAAATAAAAGGCTCCGACACTTCTTTTATGTAACTGAACAACCATTTCAGTAGAAATCTGATCTCGAAAATTTTATTTTTAGAAATAAAATTAAATTCAAAATCGCTTTATCTCTTTACAATTTATTTAATTTTAATTACTTAATTTCTTTAAATTGAAGTTATTTAATTATTTTAATGATTAATTAATTATTAATTAATTAAACAATAATTATCAATCAAATAATAATTAACATATACTGATTATTAATATGAATTAAATAATTGAGACTACTCTTATATGCGCCCTCAGGTCGCCAAATTTCTCTCCAAACATTTTTGGCGAGAAACTCCACGGTGCCATATTACTATCTAAATTTTTTGTTTACATTTCAAACTTTAAGCCTAAAATGTCTCAAAAAACGGCATTTTCGCACATGCAAAAACCACGTATTAAACATAATTCAAGCTAAAAATCCGAAACAAATAATTTAGATAGCAAAAACGTAAAGTTTCTAATCAAAAATATTTGACAAGAATCCATGTACACAGCGATATGTTATTTAACTTAAAAAAAGATCTACGAATTGCACAATATAGGCAGCGATGGAATCTACGAACTACGCACACCTCGCTTTAATAAATTAACGGTTGATCTTTGGATTATGGTAAATTAACGATTTTTTGGCGAAAGTTTGGCGACCAACTCTGCTACAGCAACCCTCTATTTTTTTTTTCCACCGCCATTTTGTCTTGACGAAGTAAAGACATGTTTCTTTTCTTTTTATTTACTCAACACTTTTTCCAACAATCGACTAGCCGAATTACACTTATGCTAGAAATTTTATGTAACAAAACTGCTTAATCATGACAAATATTAACTGCAAAATTGGGAAAAAGTGCACAATCGCAAACTCCTTGCGCGGTTTTCAGAATAGCACATACACATAAACCATTTACACGTCGACTATTTTTACTTAAAAAAACATCCCAGAATTGCAAAAATAGCATTGCACACACTCTTAACTTTATCCATCACAACTGCTATTTTCTCATAAATTACAAATTTGCACGAAAATGCAGGAAAATTTTCTGAATCTTTAAGCTCGGTAAAAAGCACATATATGAAATTACCTGATCGCGAAAAAGTATATACCCTTTCCAAGGATGAACATTTCCACGTATAAAATAAATAAAATATCCAAAAACTTTTACCTCTAAATTATCTATTATATTATAAACGTCACCAACGAATTTATACCGCAAACATTAAAAATAGTTACAAATACTTAGTGTCAAATACTTAAATTATTTCCATACACGTTTACTTCAACTGAAACGTATACCAAATTGCTACAAAACATAAAATTCACAAAATAACTATCATTTAATTAAAAATATCACTAAACCATGTACACGTCGACTTATTTTTACTTAAAAAAACATCCCAGAATTGCACAAAAATGGCATTGCGCACACTCTTTACTATATCCATGTACAGTGCTTTTTTGTCATAAATTAGAAAAATTTCTCGAAAATGCATGAAAATTTTGTGAATCTTTAAATCCGGTAAAAAGAACATATATGAAATTACCTGATCGCGAAAAAGTATATACCCTTTCCAAGGATGAACATTTCCACGTATAAAATAAAATAAATATCCAAATACTTTTTACCTCTAAATTATCTATTATATTATAACGTCACCAACCGATTTCTACCGCAAACATTAAAAATGGTTACAAATACCTAGTGTCAATATATTAATTGTTCCATGCACGTTTACTTCAACTGAAACGTATACCAAATTGCTACAAACATAAAATTCACAAAATAACTATCATTTAATTAAAATATAACTAAACCATGTACACGTCGACTTATTTTTACTTAAAAAACATCCCAGAATTGCACAAAAATGGCATTGCGCACACTCTTCACTATACCCATGTACACAGCTTTTTTCTCATAAATTAGAAAAATTTCACGCAAATGCATGAAAATACTAAACGTATACTACTCAAACGTATTCCAAAATACTACGAACATATAACTCACAAAATCACGATCATTAAATTAAAATATAATTAAATTAAAAAAACGCTACTTAAAATAAATAAGCACATACATTAAATTAATAAAAATTAGATTACATCCTAATTTCTTTAAACTAAATCGTTGCTAAAACAATTTTCCAATAATACCATATTAATTTATTTACTCCTTACATTTAGAACAATGCATAAAAATAATATCCTCAATGATTAAAAATACTAACTTACCTAATCTTCTTCAGAATTTTCATTACGTGGCACGCACACTTCCCTACATAAAGAGTTCCAATCGGCTGCAGTACTACTGCTAATTTCTAAATCCGAAATCCAGTAGTCAACTGGCAGTCTATTCACCAACCCAGTAATAAGAAATTAATAAAAATTTCACCCATACTCAAACTACTTTCAGCAAACCACGTACCCTTCTTTACACTCCGTTTCACAAAAATGTCCATTTTCACCAGATTTTCTTGCACCGCCATTCAAACTTATCTGTAATATCCTTCCTTTCACACAATCTCAACTTATTATTATTATCAGATAAACGCATTAAAAATTTAGAATTCACTTTACATAGCGCCATGTAATCCGAAAATGAATCAACACTATTTCACACAACACACAATAAAGCTTAATACAAAATAATATAGTACTACAGATATTTTTCCAAATTTACCCCCTTTTCCGATTAAAGAACTGTAATTCGTCCATTAATGTCACATGACATATGTCATGATCTCTCATTTCCCTCACACAAAACAATGCGTAATCGGAACTGAGTACTTCTCACATTATTACCAAAGTCCTAAGTAGTAACCTTTATCGCCTCCAAAATGTCGCCAAACTACCTCTTACCATATTCCAAAGATCAGCCAAATTAACATACCAATAAATTTCAAAGAATACCATGTACACAGCATTCTGTTTAAAACTTTAAAAAAAATCTACGAATTGCACAATCTAGGCATTGCGCACAAATCAACAAAATAAACTAAAACAACTAAAATAAATTACAAATAATTCAAAAAACAACAATACCAACAGAAATTCATAGTAAAAAAGCAATGAACGTAACATTCTACAAAATAAAAACAATAAAATAAAATGCACTTACCATAATAGTAGGTGTTTCTTCGGACAGCAGAAAGTAGTTTTACCATGCCGCCACGTACTCTCTATGGTATTTATATGACAGCCAGACTCGCTATCCACAAAATTCATACTATGGTTCTGAAATAAATGTTCAAAACTTCTTTTCCTAAATCCTTGCAAGATTTCCAGCCATACTTTTTCGTAGTTGTACAAGGCTCCATCCACTGTTAATATACTGCATCAGCGTTTCCTTACTTCAATCATGCACAGCCACTAAAAATAATCTTCCAGACCCTCTTGCAACCACGTCTCTCATTGCAACATAGGCCATTTCAAAACACGCAGACACGAACTATCGAGCAATTAAACCGCTCCAGCAAAAGAGTTTTTCAACGTCAAAAGGGTTGCCATACAACACGCAATCGCTTCAAAAACTAGCGCAGAACACATATCGCCACATTTGGTGATCTTAGGGCGCATTGAAGACTAGAGGCAAATAATTAGTAATTAATTTGATTTTTAAATTAGTAATGATTTTAATAGTAATTTTATTTATTTATTTACTCTTGTTCTTCTTTCCTGGAGGTCTTCCATAGGGTTCCGGCACTTTTAGAAATTAAGCCCTAAATAATACATAGTGCCTGTATGTCAAATAAAAAACTAATCAAGTATCAAACCTAATGAAAAATTTTCCAAACGATTGATTTTTTATTTATATAAACGTATATTTCTCTCTTAAAATAATTCACTAATTAAAAACTTGAATGTGTATTTTCGGATATTACTCTTTAAACTGTACGAAGGTTATTTCAGATAAATTTCTGAAGGTTGTTAAATATCCTAAAAGGGAAAGACTCCTTGAGTTATTAATATCTGACTTGGTGTATTACGACGTGTTTCATAATTATAAATACAGTATGTTTAGGAGAATAACAAGTCTCATGTGCTTTGCAACAGGTTTCGTGATACGCCACAAGCGTGAATATGGGCAGTGGGAAGAAACTAAAACATCCTCCAAAGCGAACTCTTTTACCCTGCAGAATCTACAGTGTGGCACCAAATATTATGTTTATGTAGCAGCTATAGGAAAAAACGGAGAGGGAGAACCTAGTGAAGTAGTTACAGCTAAAACTGAAGGAAGTGGTAAGTAGAAGCTAATGATTTTAATTGTCTTGCATAATAAACAATTTTGTAGCTAAGATTTCCCACTGTGTCAATATTTGAAGCGGAATATGCCGATAAAGAGTGTACATAAAATTCTGATGACTTTTATAGACCGGATAACGTTTTCTTTCAACGCCGATGACTGGGTTTATTTGTTTATTTGTTTATGGAAAAGCACTCGAGGGTTATCTGCCTAAGGAGAGGGGCGCCTTCGTGGAGGACTTTCTAAGGGAAACTGGTTCTTTATATATTTTAAACATAAGGAAAACGCCCATGCATCCATCCCATTTGCCGGGTTCGAACCCCGCACCGAACTACCAGTGGTCAGCAATTTAATCGCTGATAGGCCGACGGCAGATGAAATAATTCGTAAGCTATAGTACAAATGAATAAAAAAATCAACATGCGATGTGAGTAGTTGTATGAGCAGAAAAATGCTTCAAATAATCAATTGTTTACGTGAAATCGCTTGATTTCACCTAAGGCGGTTTTTCAGAAAATAATATATATATAAAATTTGTTGTTATGATGTGTAGTAAATGTTTTGTAGCACTGGCAGGAATCTGCATTTTCAACGGAAATAATTTTTCAAGGGAATTTACACTTATTGCATTCTATGTAGTATAGAAAAACATTTTTAAATAGCTACTTCACTTAAATTTTCAAAAAATATCAAAGCTTCACACAGCATCAAATTCATAATAAAAGCTTCAAAATATGGTGTGTATACAAACAGAATTTAGAATTAATACACTGAACGTTCATTATAAAGAGATAATTTCCATGGACTAAAATTTCCATGGATCTACGAATTTAATCTAATACTTGGGGAATTTGGTACTGCTTATTTATCAATACTGAACCAAAACATTATCCTCCTCTGCCGGTGTGTGTTACAAATCTTAAAATCATAACAAACGGAAGAAGGAGTTTCTATTGTACCCAACGTACAAAAATAAGTACATGTCTCTCTGTTAATATCGCGATTTGGTTATAATAATATCCTAAACTCAAATCTACAAACATTTTCGGTTTGCAATGGATGCAATTAGCTTCCTAACAACTTACGAAGCACGCCAACATCTGTCAACAGCTCCTTGACAATTATTGCAATCGACTTGAACAAGCAAAGTGGCGCTAACACAGTACAGGATCCAGTACCCTCCAATAATATTCCACTTTTATATTACATTGCTTGCCATTCAATTAGCCTAACTTCTGGTCTGAGCGAGGCGAGGCGAGGGAAAAAAACGAGGCGAGGGTCTCATGACGAGGCGAGGGAAAAAAACAGAATTTATTTTTTTAATTAATTATTAGTAAATCTGACAACACAGTTCCTTTATAAAGACATTTCAATACAACGATCATTCCGTTACAACGGCAGGTGTAAAACATGCCAGTTTGATGAACGTACTAACGACCACAACGGCCCTTACGGACACGAGAGGTCGTTATAATGAGCATCGACTGTATAGCTTAAAAACAAAATTTTATCTATTTCTGCATCTTAAAAACAAACACTTAAAAAAAATTAAAAAATATCCAAGGATTTATTACTGAAAAATTCTAATCAACGCCTATTATAGTTCAGGTTCAAACACATAAATCTTAAAATCTGTATTATTTTTCAACAGAGGAAAAATTATTTTCATTGGGGAAAATTTTTCACTCTGTGAAAGTAACAAGTAGTTTATCTTAAGTTATTTATTTATGCTTTGGATGGAATTCTAATAATTTAATTGATTACGAACTTGTATAATTTTTTTTTTCAATATCACATCGGAATCATCGAACTATCTCATCAAAATTAATAAAAGGAAAAGCTAGTTTAGAATGAAAGTTGTAGTTAGAAATTTGGCAATATTTTATGGACTAAGACGAGAAAGAAAAGTTAGATAAAACCCGAGGGAAAAAAAACGCTGATGTAAAATAATAGCTTTTAAACTAATAAAATTAAAGATACGGCACAAGCAAACTGACAGAAAATGTCAAATAAACTGACAACTCTTGCACATAAAGGACGCTAAAAATATTGCTTAACTTTTTACGTTTACCATAAAAATTTTGATATATTTCATTAAAGATTTCATGCATCATTCATCTTAACATCAATCATTTAACTTATATATTAGAACTTATTTGCTTTATAGAAATTAATGTAACAATTGCGTGCGTGTTACCGTTTTACTGAGTTATTCTGGACGAACCTCAAAATTTTTCTTTCGTTTGCTTAACAATGTGGGTAATGGGCAAATTTATTTCTGAATATGTTTTTACAAATTTTTACAATTATTATACGAGTGGAATTTTACTCGGTACGATTTTAAAATATTGAATATTATTATTTATTACTTTTGAGTATTCAAGTTATAAAAACAAGCTGTATTTTTATTATTTATTTTTTTCCCCTGGCGGGTTCCAGTCGTTTATAGGCATAGGCCACTACTAAACCCGGATGCGGTAATTTCTTTATTAGTGAGGCATGTAATAGGTGGGCCATCGTTGCCTCCGGTGAACGGATGGACAAATCACTTCCCTGCCTCCTCCGGGATTCGAACCCTGGCCCTTCGGTACGGCAGTCAGAGTCACTAACCACTTTCCCGTCTGAGCGGAATTTTATTTTTCATAGTAAAGTAGAAAAATTATATTATATGTTTTCTTCTAATCTTTGAGTTTTCATTTACTCATTTAAAAAATAATTCACATAGGCAGAATCTTTGACCTACCCTTCCTTCAAACAATGCATTGGACAACGAACATTTTAAACATTTCAAATTTAACTGGCAGTTCCAACAATTATCTGTTTGCTTAGTCTATTCACTATGGAAACATATTATGGTTACCCAGCTCATAACATTATGTTTATTTAACTAAATATAACTCAAAATGAGTTGAGTAATTTTTTAGTAAACTAAACCTCCTTGTACTGTTACCTCCTTGTACGAACTAAAAGAAGTATTGTAATCGCAAAAATCTTCGGGTATCACATTTCAACTAAAATTTACATGACGTCTGTATGTACGTACGTAAGTATGTATGTATCTCGCATAACTCAAAAACGAGTAGCCTCAGAACGTTGAAATTTTGTGTATGGGATTGCTATAACATGTAGTTGGGCACCTCCATTTTTGGTTGCAATCGGGGGCATCAAAAGTATATGTGTGTATATACATATATATACAGGGCGATTCTAATTTTTTTTACAAATTAAGAGGGATGATAGTATTCATCCAGATCAGCAATAATTACCATACAACATAGGGTTACATTCCACTCTGAGAGAGGCAGAAAAGAGGAATATTAGAATTCGAACCTGAACTTGTGTCGGAAGAGCGAATGAACGAGACCAAAATTTGCGCAATCAGCTTAGTGAAAAACTAACAGAGGATGCACAAAACGGATAAAACCAAAAACTTGGCTTTCAAGTGTTAATTCGAGCTCAGGCTTTGATGGCAAACACTCAAATGCACATCTTTGGTTTGAAAGGTCTCAAACTCGCAAACGATTTTAACAAGTTAATTATCTAATCAATGGCTGAATATTATCAACAAACTCCAACTTCTGCTGTATGCCGAGATCAAAATGGAAAGTTCATGTTGTGTTCCGGCTGTCAGAACTGCGTGTCCCATAAGTAGTAGAATGAGCGCAGCGCAGTAAGTCCAGAGGGACAGGCTAAAAGATGGCAAAGGGGAGAAAAAACTATCTTAATGGTATCAAATCTACCTTGAGTTAATTGATAATATTAAGCCCTGGATTAAACGATTAACTTGTTGCCATCGTTTGCGAGGTTGAGACCTTGCGAACCAAAGATATGCATTTAAGTGTTTGCCATCAAAGTCTGAGCTTGAATTAACATTTAAAGCCAAGTTTTCAGTTTTATCCGTTTTGTGCATTCTCTGGTGAGTTTTTACACTAAACTGATTGCGCAACTTTTGGTCTCGTTCATTCGCTCTCCCAACACTGTTGTTAAGTTCAGGCTGGAGCTCTAATATGCCTCTTTTCTGCCTGTCAGAGTGGAATGCGACCCCATGTTCTATGGTAATTATTCCTCATCTGGATGCGTACTATCACCCCTCTTAATTTGTAAAAACAATTTAGAATCACCCTGTATATTTAATGGCGCACATTTTTGCTTTAAAAAATGATTGAATTAATTTTTTTTTATCTTCCGGTTAAGGTTTTTATGCTTTAATTTAATCTCCACGCAATAGCTGTAGAATTTTCAGCAATTTAAAACTTACTTAAGTGCAGCTAAGCCTAATTTTTTTTAAAAAATTACCGCCATATTTTTTTACATTTGAAACTTGGCAGAATAATGAATTAAATCAGTTTCTGCACCTTCAGTCACTTTTGTGCACTGAAAAATCTGCCTTCTGACCCGCTGGTCGAAGTGATTGTTTTTGCATTGTTTTCTATTTTCTACATTTTTCAATTTTTGATAAAGATATTTTGAGGTTTTTTTGTATTTTTGCCTTGCCGCGAAGTGATAACTGAATTAATTGAATGAGAAATATATCTAATGAAATTCGAGGAAATAAGTTTAAATGAAATGCAGCAAAAACTGCGTATAACAGCCTGTACAAGGAACTTCCTTGTACATTCTGTACAAAGAATTCATGTGGTGTCCACATCAAACTTTTATTAGTTTACTTTTGGAATCCTGTTTAATTCAGAATAAGGCATTGAAAAACCACTGAACATTTTGCGTAAACTGAAAGCCATGAAGGAACTTAAATTCTCTTCTGGTGATGTATGCAGAGTTAAATTTCGATCAAGCAAATTTGGAAGAAAATTTTGGCTAGTCTAATACGTAAAGTTCATTTAATTAGTCGAGACACCGTTTATGGCGCTTTCAATGCACAAGTTAAGCGAATATTTAATTTAATTACCTTAAATGCTAAACCAGAGACAAAATTTAAGCTTTGACTATTTCTCAATGTCAGTCAGAACTTATTCATTTATTGGTATTTCAGCAAATG